TTTTTTCATTCAACTTTTTGGTTCAATCGAGCAACTTATCCACATTATTTAAGCAAACACCAAACAACAATACAATTTTTATTCAGCATACAAAATGTTCAGATGACTTCGTTGTAACACTGAATCCTCCTGAAGGAATATTGTTCTCTTTGATCATTTTCTCCTTTTGTTTACGCATCGCCTCAATTAATTCACGTCTTCGCTTCGCTTCATTCGCTCTCTTCAATTCATTTTTTGCGTTCTTTTCTTCTTTTTCATTAGTTTTTGTTAGCCGATTTGATTTCGTTGCTGGTGATTTGTTAGTTATGGATTCTGAGGCACGAACCCGCGACCTAGAATGCTGACTCTTTTACCGGCTTCAACACAACATATATTACCAACTGAAGATATACTCAAGAAAATACAATGTAAGTACATTAAGGACTACCAGTCTGATTCACTGAAACAATACTGCAACTTGAATATCTGTGCAATGAACACAGCAGAGTCACTGGGCACCACCACTGTGAAGTCATCGTAAAGACGAGATATATTAATGATTGACGAATGAAAACAAAAAAAAAAACCAAATTAATTCCAAATTAGAGCGAACAACAAATAAAACAAATCAACACTAACGATGGCTTATTCACAGATGATAATTGTTGCTGTTGTTTCGTATCAGATGTCGATGCAACTTGCCAGTTATTCTTACGCAATTCATCAGCTTCATTGAATAATCTTTCAAGATCCTCCAATTCCATACTTATCAATGCCCAATAACCAGCCAAGTCATCCAGTGTTGCTGGTTGAGGATCATTTTCGATTGGATTCTGAAATTTTGACGATGTCACTATAAGGCGCATCCTTACTCGTAATAAGCTTAACGTTCGATCACTATAAGGCGCATCCTTACTCGTCTATTTTTATTTGAGGGAAGAAAATGCGGATTTCAACTCTAAACCTTATTTGTTTACAAGTTAACGAATGAATGACCGATAATATTTGACAGCTGTCAAAAAGATATTCAAATACTTTGATATGGAAATGAGCATCATAAGGATGGCAATACTCAA